AAATAAATTAACAAACAACTATTCATTCATTTTATACTAATTTTAAATATATTATAAAAAATATAGGAGGAATTACGCTTAATTATTTTTTTTAGTACAATAAGCTACGGGGTTTACTATGACTTTTTATTATCGTCCGACCGTTAGTGAGGCTTTTGCTTCTGTTCAATATATAATGCCGGAAGCTAACTTTGGTTGGTTAATTCGATCAGTTCATAGATGGTCGGCAAGTATGATGGTCTTAATGATGATCTTGCACGTATTTCGTGTGTATCTTACTAGTGGATTTAAAAAACCTCGTAAATTGACTTGGATTACAGGTGTGGTTCTAGTTGAATTAACCACATCCTTTGGTGTAATTAGTTATTCCTTACCTCGGGACCAAATTAATTATTGGACAATCAAAATTTATACTTGAATAAACGAACAAACAACTATTCATTTATTTTATACTAATTTTAAATATATTATTTTATAATATGAATAAACTAACAAACCATTGTACTATTTTAATATGAATAAATTAATCAACAATAATTTTAAAAAAAATGGTTTATGATAAATTATTGAATATGATTTATACGTACATTTCTATACTTTTGAAATAATGTATATAGTGTCGTATTGTTTCCATTTTAAATAATTTTTTTTAAATTAAAAATTTCTATATTTATGTCCGCTGAAAAACAATTTTAGAATTATTTTTACTTTTCATCTATCATTTTCTTATCTGATTTGGTGGAAATTAAATGAATCTAAATACGAGTTTTATAAAAAATTGTTCAAAATATTTTAATCGTTCTAGTGTTTACTACAACTTCTAGATCAATATTTATTATAAAACTGAGATTTATAATTCTAAATTCTAACGTATTTATTAGGTCTACCTTCCAACTTTATTTTATCATAATTTATATATATTTTTTATTTTTATGATAATTTAGGTTAAATCTATTTTAATGTAAGTATATTTTCTATTTTTATGTTATATATATATATATATCATTGTTTTTTTAATTTTATTACCTATCCCTCTATTTTCCTTACTTAGTAACCAATTCTCGAGTGTGCTTGTCTTAGTATCTTAAGATATTACAATGTATCTGTGTTGTTGTTGATGAATTTGTTTTTTTTAATGATTATAGATTGATTTGTATTTGTTTGTAAACTAATTTTGTTTTTTAGTAAACAACCCAGCAATCTAATTGGAACCCAACCTGAAATTTTTTGGGTTGGGTTGGGTTATCAATCCAAACCCGAACTTCTATTGAAAAAAAAAAAAAAATCTCTCAACCCAACTTACACTCCGGACCATGTACACTCTTAATAGAAATTTAGAGTTATTGCAAATATTTTCGTATTCGAGAATCAACAAATTCATCTTCGTAATTTATTTGTGAGAATTGTATTTTAAACCATTATTTGATACAATATTATCGTTATTATTTTTTTAAGGTAGGAAATACTTTAGACCTTTTATTGTAGTAATGAGTTGACATAGTTAATTCATAGAAATAATTTTCTCGAAATCAAATCACTTTCATCATATTATTAATTTGAATAAGATATTACATTACAATATATTAAATATTTAAATATATTATTTGACAAAGATTATCCATGAGTCACGGTGAACATGACCTTTGAGTTGAGCCAAACCAATCTCTCGTACTTTCTTGAAAGAATAAAACTAAATTCGGAGAATTCTCATGAAACTCTCTCCTCCCATCAGTTTAAAATTTTCTTTTAAGAGGCGTCACAAGCATTAGCCTTGTATTCGAGTCATAGCAAAGAAGATCTTGTGGGATGTAAATAACTTCTGTGTCGTTGGAAATGATATCTACAAAAGTAGAATTCTTGTTATCGTATATATTGTTTTTTTTTTATTCTTAATAAAATCAAAACGATTATCAATGCTTCTATTAATCTATTCCGTTTGGTTTGAGCTCGTGGTAACCGTATAGATAACAAACTTTATCTCATTGTATGTACTAGTGTTAGTCAAAACCTTCTTCCACCTCAGACCAACCCTCCCCGTGTGTCTCCACGTGTGGTGATCTTGGCCCATTTTGTAAGAGCTAGGCCCAAATCTTCCTCTATTCAAGGCCCATTTAGGTCATAAGGTCGAATTGGGCTTTGCAAAATGGGGCTGCTGGGCTTGATAAAAAACGGGGTCTGGTTGGTTGTACGAAACACGCTCCCATTCTGAAATAATGGAGCTTTTTGCAGTAATTGTTCATCCTTATTGGTCCGTGTTAATCACGCTCCTTTAGGTCGCGTCACCCCGTCCTTCTCCATAATATCTATATGATTCCCTCTTTTGATTTCGACCTCTCCCTCGATCTAATATATAAATATTTATTTATTTATTTATTTATTTGTACTAACAAAAAAAAAAGAAAAAAAAAGAAAAAGAAAAAAAGCGTCCAGCACCGATCACCATTCACCATTCACCAATACGGATACATAAGCGTTTCCTTCCTTCTCTCTCCTGAAATCCTGGTTTTATTTTTTGTTGTAAAGCCTTTTTCGACAAAAAAGTATTCTGGTCTCCCTCATTTTTCTTCCCCCTTTTTCCCTCTTCCAAGAACTGTAATCTTTCCTTCTTCTTCTTCTTCTTGATTCGCTCCATTTTCTCAATCTTGTTCTTGTTGTTGTTCTTCAATTTTGTTCTTCTGTTTTGATTAGATTTGGATTGGATTCTTCTTTTTCATCATCGTCATCAACGCAGATGAGACCGCTCCAGCCGCCACAGGGTGTGAATCCGACCACCGATCGTCCTCGTCGCCGTCCCAATCTAACCCTTCCTCTTCCGCAGCGGGACAATACGTCTTTGGCGGTTCCTCTCCCTTTGCCTCCTACCTCCTCCAACGCTGCGCCTCCTTCCACCAGTCAACTTCACAACGGCAACCGCCCGCCGAACCCTCTTCCTCAGCAGCATCAGCCTTTTAGCCTTGCGGACTTCGAGCGAGTGAGCCGAATCGGAAGTGGATGTGGAGGTACCGTCTACAAAGTGATTCACCGACCTTCTGGCCGCGTCTATGCTCTCAAGGTTATTTACGGTAACCATGAGGATGCGGTTAGGCTCCAGATGGGCCGAGAGGTCAAGATCCTTCGCGACGTTGACAATCCCTATGTGGTCAAGTGCCATGATATGTTCGATCATAACGGGGAAATCCAGGTTCTCCTTGAGTACATGGATCGGGGTTCTTTGGAAGGAACGCATATCCCTCAGGAGCACCATCTCTCTGATTTGGCTCGCCAGATTCTTAGTGGCCTCGCCTATCTCCATAGCCGCCGCATCGTCCATCGCGACATCAAGCCCTCGAATCTCCTCATCAATTCCCGAAGGCAGGTTAAGATCGCTGATTTCGGCGTCGGTCGAATCTTGGAACAGACTATGGATCCTTGCAATTCCTCGGTTGGAACTATTGCGTACATGAGCCCTGAGAGAATCAATTCCGATCTAAATCAGGGCCAGTACAATGGCTATGCTGGGGACATTTGGAGCTTTGGGGTTAGCATATTGGAATTCTATCTCGGACGGTTTCCTCTCGCTGTCGAGAGGCCTGGGGATTGGGCGAGCTTGATGTGCGCTATATGTATGGCTCAGCCACCGGAGGCGCCGCCCACTGCTTCATCAGAGTTTCGCCACTTCATTGCCTGCTGTTTGCAGAGAGAGGCTCGGAGAAGATGGACTGCAGCTGCATTACTGGAACATCCGTTCATTACGACGAAAAATGGAGCGAATCAATACCAGAATCAGCCGGCTCATCACCAGAATCTTCGTCAACTGTTACCTCCTCCGCCCCTTCATCCTTCCAGCCTTTCCTGAGAAAGACGGCCTTTAATATTTTGTTTCTCCTTTTTTTCTTGAATTACTCTTGTCTTCCTGAGAAGCATGGCGCCATTATTGTCCTGTAATTTGCCTGGAATAGCCGAAAGGGATGGTAAATTATTTGCTGTTTAGATCAGTAAATCATATGTTTTTCACAACATTTTTCAGAACAATGCAAAAATTCTGTAATCTTTTGCCGGTGGCTGAAATATTAAGCTAAGTCAAATTCGTTTAAGCTTTCCTTAACTCAATGCTCTTTAGATTAGATTGTGGTCTTCTTTTGGATATACATGACTGTTCTTATTCGCTTTTCTTGCCTTCCTCAGTTGGGTATTATAGAAATAAAGAAACCCCTCTTTGTGCCTTCTTCAATCATCTGTATTTGTTTGTGTAATCCAACCCTCTTCGTGTTTCCTTCAATCATTTGTATTTGTGCGTTGAATGATTGGCGTTGGTCTGTTCCAATCTATGCTCTCTTTTGCCCTGTAACTCTGGCCTCTGCAATGCCTCTTTTTGGCATTCATTTCAAAGCTGGTGAATGGCAGAAGAGGAGCTGCTATATGGAGTGTGATATAATCATATCGGCGTTGTTCAAAGGAGGAGGGGCTGAATCAGCCCACCATGAAAAGGATTTTGACTTGAAATTGACCTTTTTTGATGACACAGATCTCACGTTACAGAACTTGGCCCTTAATGTTGAAAAACTCCCTTGAGTTTACACGTTTTAAAGCCAGTTCAACTTGACCAAATCAAGCACATTTAATGGGGCAGACAAGGAGAATTAGCTTTGGAGGTGAGAGTCTAGACTTTTTGTTTGCATTTTCCACAAACCCCTTTTCTTCCACACATGGATACCGTGCTTTTGGGTCAATCCATTTTTACGAGAAAAATGCTCCAGAGTTGAAAGCTTTTCCTCCTCTGCCAAGTACCCTCCAAAAAAACACAGCAGTTATTCCTTCCAAATCTAATAAAAGGTCAAATTTCTAACTGTAAAGAAGATTAGAAACTGAATCCAACCCCGTCCAATAGGAAGTAGATTGCGGCTAATTAATCTGTTTTTATTACTACTTTTTTAAAGTACATACTTTGTGGAATGTGATAAATAAGCAGCAAGTCAAAGTTAAATGGGGAAAAACGCAAGAGGACGATATTTCGCAGAAGTTTCCTAGCTGCGCTGCTCTGGAGCTTCGCTATATTTTCCTTCCCTTCCCATCAGCCACCCAACTCATCTTCTTCGTCGCTTGATCTATAATTTTGGTCAAGTCCCAGAATCTTATTTCGGAGAAACTTCCTTCTGGCTGGCCTTTGCCGGCTGTGCTGGCCAGAGTTTTTATTCTTAAGCAACTGAATCACCTATACGATCCAAACTAGTGGGACCCGTTGGTTCTTGTCTTATTTTCGCTCCTTCTTGCTTTTGAAGGTTGGTATCTCAGCTCGATTTGGGGAGTTCTTGATCATTCTGCAGCTGGGATTCGACCTGGATATCCTCGTCGCGTCAGTGCAAGTTCATCTCCAATCTGGTAAATACTCCCTTGCTCTTACTGTTGATGGGGTAACTAAATCTTGTTTTAATCTTAATTCGATCTGATTTCTTCTTCCTATAAGTTAAGAATGCTTTGGATTTGACTTGTGGAAGATGAAGTACCTGATGAGTAGCATATGTAAATCAATCCAGATTTAACTGATCGACATAACTATACTTGCAGATGGGATCAACAGAGGAGAAAACAAATTACCTATCAGATGAAGGAACTCCGTTGAAGTCCTCACCGGTCGCGAAAAATGTATCGCATAGCTTCGATTGCGAGACGGGTCCTGTTCGTTCTTCCCCAGATGTTACAAGATGGTGGAAGACTAACAACATTCGTATTAGACCTCTTAGAAGTGCTTATATAGTGTTAGTTAGAGCAAAGATCAACGTGTTACTACCTTTTGGTCCTTTGGCTATTCTGCTACACTACTTGACCGGAAAGCATGTAAGAAGTACTCCTCTTCATGTTCAAACATTGATCTGTTCATAAAATCTTGGATATTCAAACATTCTACTTTTAAGATCTTTCTGCTGGTTAATACCGTGGCTTGTATGATTTATCTTATGGTTCATAATTCCTTGATAGTCAGCTTTATATGTCAGGGATGGGTCTTCTTTTTCACTTTACTTGGCATTGCACCCTTGGCAGAGCGTCTTGGTTATGCAACCGAGTAAGATTTGGCTTCCTATACTCTACGTTTATGATTTTATATCATTTCCATTTGTGCTACACTTATGTTTAAAACAATATTTGTGATGCAGGCAGCTTGCCTTCTACACTGGACCAACAGGTATGAGTGCTACCACGACCAGGGATTGCTTGTTTTGGTCGTTTAATTGGGGATGTTCAGTTAGTTTCCTTAATAACTCGAGTGTTTAATGGACTTTGCAGTTGGCGGTCTTTTGAATGCAACATTTGGAAATGCTACCGAAATGATTATATCGATTTATGCGTTAAAGAGTGGGATGATTAGGGTTGTTCAACAGTCATTACTGGGTTCAATCTTGTCAAATATGCTCCTTGTTCTTGGTTGTGCTTTCTTTACTGGTGGGATTGTTCATCATAAGGTGCAGGTTTTCAATAAGGTACAACGTTTTGATCTCTTGAAAACTATGCTTTGCCTTTACTTTTGTGATATTTGTTTCCTATTTTAGTGGCTTACATTAAAATCTGGTTAATTGGCTGCAGGGTTCTGCTGTTGTTAATTCAGGATTGTTGTTGATGGCTGTTATGGGAACAACTTTTCCGGCTGTTCTTCATTTCACCCACACAGAACTTCATTCTGGAGAGTCAGCACTATCTCTTTCAAGATTTAGCAGCTGTATTATGTTAATTGCATATGCAAGCTATCTTTTCTTTCAACTTAAAAGTCAGCAGGACCTCTATGGTCCTCTTGATGAGGTGAGTCTCTTTGGCAAGATTGGATATTTAGAGGTACCTTTTAGTTTTTAGCATTCCCCGCGCTTAAAAAATGCAGAATCAACGCTATCTTTTCCACGCAGGAACTCTATTTTCAAGCAGAGATGATTTTAATTCTAATGGTTTTTCTCCTTTTGCAATCTTTTTAGGTAGGTGAAGATGAAGTTGAGGATGATTCTGAGATTTATGCTTGGGAAGCAATTGGATGGCTTGCTATCTTGACTGTATGGGTATCTATTTTATCTGGATATCTTGTTGATGCTATCCAGGTAAATTTTATTCTGATTGTTATACCTCATAGTTGATTCACGTTTTGCCTTGAGATCATACATATATTCTTTATAAAATCTTCAATTTCTGCGCTTAGCCAGTAGCAATTATTTTGATCACTGTCTGTCTCTCTCAGGGAGCATCTGAATCATTGAATTTGCCAGTGGCTTTTATTAGTGTAATTTTGTTGCCAATTGTTGGAAATGCTGCTGAACATGCGAGTGCAATCATGTTTGCCATGAAGGATAAGCTTGTGAGTAATTTCTGGATTTTGTTTTTCATTTTCTTCTAATCATTTCTTTTCTATGGGTTGATTGACCTAAGAGTTACTGTAGGACATCACCCTTGGAGTTGCTATTGGATCGTCGACACAAATATCCATGTTTGTGGTAAGTCTTGAGAATTATCCATAATTTCCATTAGTTTGACTTTTGTTGGCTTGGAACTGTAAAAATTTTGGATTGGTAATTGTACTGTGTGCCATTAATGATTGTAGATCCCGTTTTGCGTGGTTGTTGGATGGTGCATGGGGGAACCAATGGACTTGAACTTTAAACTCTTTGAGACAGCGACTTTGTTCATCACTGTTTTAGTGGTGGCCTTTATGTTGCAGGTACGTTATCTTCCATCCATCCTCTCGTAATTAAATTCCTTCGCAATAACATGTAAGATCCCACATTGGTTAGAGAGAGGAACGAAATATTCTTTACAAGGGTGTGGAAACCTCTCCCTAACATATGCGTCTTAAAACCGTGGGTTGACGGCAGTACATAACGGACCAAAGCGGACAATATCTACTAGTGGTGAGCTTGGGCTGTTACAAATGGTACCAGAGCTAAATACCGGGTGGTATGCCAAAGAAGACGTTAGGCCCTCAAGGGGGGTGGATGATGAGATTCCACATTGGTGGGAGAGGGGAACAAAGTATTTCTTTATATGAGTGTTGAAACCTTTCCCTAGTAGATATATTTTAAAACTATGAGGTTGATGGCAATACGTAACAAGTCAAAGCGGACAATATTTGCTAGTGGTGGGCTTGGGCTGTTACAAAACAACTCTGCCGAGTGGGACTATTCTTTTGAATCTTCTATCTTTTCCATTAAAGAGTTCTCATTCATATGCCAAGTCATTTGATCAAAACATGAATTTAGTATAAATGACTTCATTTTGTATGCTCTGCGTGTCAAGTCATTGTTCTCATCTTCTTGGCATTTATCATATCTGTAATATTTGCAGGAGGGGACATCCAATTATTTCAAAGGTGTAATGCTTATTCTATGCTACCTCATTGTGGCAGCCAGTTTTTTTGTACACATTGACCCTACTAATGGTGAGTAGTTACTCCTTGAATCCACCACACTAAAAGAATCTGTTTATCTCTACGCATTACTGCCAATGAATTTAACTAAAGATTCTGAGCACATAATTATTTATGGATTACTACTCAGATAATGACTAACCCTCGAAGCAAGTATGTCCCTGGGAATTTACTGCAACCTGAACCTTTGCATTGCATTGGTTCTCAAACCACCATTGCTTCAGTTCGATGGAACCTGCAAACATTGGAGGACTCACACAAATGGTTTGGTCTTTAAATGGAGTTTGGTTTCATTTGTTGAACTGTACTGTAATCTTTTTGTGGCTTGACAGTTCATCTTTTTTCTCATTATCATCTTCTTCTTTAACTTGTTTATCATAAACTTGAGAGCTGTAATCTTTCTATATTCATCGATTGTAAGCTCTTCCTTTGAATGTTCCTCGTTTTCTCTAACCAACCGATCAAACTACATATCACCACATGATATGCAGCACCAGGATTGTTTCTGGAATTTTGGTAAAATGATTCACCATAAGTTGACAAAGAGTTATCTCTATCGACTGAGAATTATAGGCATTAACAAGCAATGGTGAGTCCTAATGTAGCAAAAAGAAAATCAGTGCATGGGAATGAGAGGGGAGAGTAGCAGGGCTAAGGCTTTTACAGGGGAGAGATTGAGCTGATCAAATTGGAAGCATGTATTTAACCAAGCAGCCTCAAGAGCAGGTCTAGTTCAACCGTGGGGTGAGCATTTCTAGCAAATGATGGAAGAAGATGTTTCAGCAACAGTCTAAGCCTACCGCTAGTAGATATTATCTCCTTTGGCCGTTACGATTGCCATTAGCCTCACGATTTCAAAACACGTCTATTAGAGAGAGGTTTCCACACCCTTGTAAAGAATGTTTCGTCCCCCTCTCCAATCAATGTGGGATCTCACAATCCACCCCTCTTGGCACATTACCCAATGTCTAGCTCTAATACCGTTTGAAACAGCTTAAATCTACTGCTAACAGATATTGTCTACTTTAGTCCATTACATATCGTCGTCAACCTCATAGTTTTAAAACGCGTCTATCAAGGAGAGGATTTTACACCCTTATAAGGAATGTTTCATTCTCCTCTATAACCGTGGTAGAATCTTACAACTTCTAGGTGAGATCTTTACATCCACAACTTTTTGACCTAATAGAATATATTCTAATGAAACAATCACAATCAACTAAAGCAAGGTGCCAACAATATGTAAGCTGAAATCTTATCAAATCCAATCCCACTTAGCAATTAATTGTAAAGAAAGTTAAGTTTTTTATTCCTCTTCTCATGAGAAAAGCCTGTAGTAAACATTGTTCCCCAGTCGACAAACAATTATCCTACTCATAAAACGTATCTGGGTCAGAACTGCTAACCTTAAAATTTCTCCAGGTGGAAGAATGGACTCTGCTTGCTGTTGTCTTGCCAAGTGAGCAATAACTGGAATCATCAAAGAGAGTTCTTCTTCTTACCAAGCCTCACAGAGTCGATATAATTTGTGAGGCAATGAGCAGAAATGCCAGGAAGTGCCAGTCCTATTACCCTTAACAATAAGCAAAACCATCCCTCCCTGTACTCAGCTCCATATGTGTAGCCCATCAGCAAGCTTCTGATCAGCTCCCATAAAGCATTGAGATATTCCGGTATCAGGTATCTAATCCCAAAGAAGTTCTTGTTCGATTCCTCATCTACTTCCTTCAAATATGCAGATTGCAAAAACAAATTCACAGAATAAGAACCACAAATTGGGTCAAACTTTAAAACACCAAAATTAATAGTGTAAGAGGTCCATCGCTAGCAGATATTGTCCTCTTTGGACTTTCTCTTTCCCTCTCAAGATTTTTAAAACACGTCTACTAGGGAGAGGTTTCCACTCCTTATTAGGAATGCTTCGATCCCCTCCCCAACCGATGTGAGACCTCACAATCCACTCCCTTGGGGGTCCAACATCCTTGCTGGCACACCGCTCAGTATCTGGTTCTGATACCATTTGTAAAAGTTCAAGCCCACCGCTAGCCGATATTGTTCTCTTTGGACTTACCCAAAACGTGTCTACTAGGGAGAGATTTCCACACCCTTTTAAGAAATGCTTCGTTCACCCCTCCGACCGACGTGAGACCTCACAAATAGCGAGGGAGAGTTTATTCTTAATATGGTTCAGGTTCATTACTACAAATTCTAGCTTAGTTAACTACACGAAACAGGAGGCAGAAAATGTACTTACTTTCTCAGTGAATAGGCTGTCATAGTATAGACAAACCCCAAAATGCTTATAGAAAAAAGCTTTATCGTCGTAAGGCAGCCTAGGTACAAGGTCATTGCAGTAGACAACCCTGAAGTACCTTGGAGTAGGCTTCATCAAATGAGCCTCCATGAACTGCGCCAGTTGCTTGTCACCGACCCTAGGCTGCCCGAATGTATATACACCTAATAGCCTGTCCATTATTTCCATTTCCTTATGCAGCACCAGAACTGTAGGGAACAGAACTGCAAGCGCCCCGCCTAAACTATGACCAGTGACCACAAACTTCGCATTTTTATGCTCCATAAGCAATCTCCTGAGCTTAAGTTTCACTGCATAGTATGCAGACAACTGCACCATTTCTGGCGTAACCGCGTCGAACTGTTCAGAGTCCAAAGATGGATGTAATCTATCCTGTTCAATGCTTTGATGAAGGTTTGAGATTGTTGATCTGGAAACGTCTGAAGAAATGGAGATGAACTTATGGTGACCTTTGAAGCTGTTGGCATCATTTCTGTTGCCCAAACCAAGAGCTTCTAAGAAGCCTATGTGAATCTTCCCAACGTCCGGGATCTCATACCAAGAGTAGTCAAAATCAGTGCACCAGTCATCTGCATCAAAAGGTTCTGTGCCCCTGAAGCTGATCAATATCAGATTGGCGTCTTTAAGCTTATCACACAGTATGAACACCTGCGTAGAGCTGTCCTTTAGGAAATCTACCAAATTTTGTGGTGGTCAAGAGACAAACAGAACCCGGTTATTCAATTAGTTGGCTTAAGTAATGAAACTAAAGACAGTATTTTCCACTAGATGATCATTCGAGTTTTCTTACCATTCCAGCAATTGTAGAAGCCCACGAAATGCATCTGCTTCATTATTAACGATCAAAGTTAGTCTGAAATGACACATAAATTGTAACCGCTCAAGCCCACCGCTAATAGAGATTGTCCTCTTTGGGATGCCCCTCAAGGTTTTTAAAATGTGTATGCTAGGAAGAGGTTTCCACACCCTTATAAAGGGTGTTTCATTCTCCTCTCCAACCGATGTGGGATCTCACAATCCACCCCCTTCTAAGGGTCCAGCGTCCTCGCTGACACTTGTTCCTTTCTCTAATTGATGTGAGACCCCCACCAAATCCCTCCCCTTCGGGTTAAGCTTCCTTGCTGACACATCGCCCGATGTTTGGTTCTGATACAATTTATAACAGCCTAAGCCCACCGCTAGCAGATATTGTCCTCTTTTGGGTTTCCCTTTCGGGCTTCCCCTCAAAATTTTTAAAAATCGTTTGTTAGGAGAGGTTTCAACACTTCGTTCTCCACCCCAACCGATGTGAGATCTCACACGATACAATATAAGAAGCAATGAAATAACCTGCCTTCCAGCGGCGAAGAACAACATTCTGAATGACCTTTTCATTCTCGTAGGATAGTTTTGAAGCCATGATGCAAAGATCCATTAGAGTCCGATTGCCCATTTTAAGTCCGAAGCCTCTTTCTTCATAAACAGAATCAGTAGCTCCTTCAAGAATTTGTTCTTCATTTAATAGATTCATTCGCCCATCTAACAGCCCAATGGTGCTGATAAATGTCTCTGTACCCCTCTGTGGCACAACCACTTCACCTGCGCATCCAGAAAAAGCAGAGATTTCAATGCCTATTCTGTAAAATCTAGACATGTGATGTTCTAAGTTGGTTGAGATTTAAAAGCATGTGGACCCGTACCGCGCACGATGTTGCAGAACAATCCCGAGATATTGCCATTCATAGACAGAAGATTGAGACTGAATTCCACCACATTGCCAGTCCATTCCACTGGTTTAGCCAGAGCGGCTATCACTTTTCGAATCAGAATCGACACCACTATGACCCACCTGCGTCCCAAAACCATCGCACCAAAAACACCCTCCTCGAAGCCCTCAAAGAATCTCCGTCCACCGTCGCCATCCGGCCAAAACCAACACCGGAAAACGTCTCTGATTCCACCCTTCTCCGGCCGCACAACAAGGTAGCTAAAATCATCGCCGTCGCTACCAGCATTGTTACGGGTAGTAACCATGTTTAGAAAACCCCTTTTAGTATGAATCTAAAGAAGACGCCTCCAGAAGAACAGCCAGCAATTCGTATATATCAAGAAAAGTAAAAGGGATGCGGTTATATCGGTACCTTAGCCCATTCTGCATCCCCAACTGATCTTATCATCAAATACGCGTATATCGGATATATCCTCAAATGTAAAGAAGACGCAAATCGGCATTAAACCCACTGTTTGAGTGTGAAAAGCTTAGTTAATTTCAACCTTCCCGCATATGGGTAACCTTCTAAGATCAGATTCCATTACCCATATGAAAGTTATCTTCTAGAGAATGCGTGGAAGTCTGAAAAAAAATGGGGAAAAGTAGCGTTGAAAGAGAATATGGAATATGGCGATGGTGTTGGGGTGGGTGGTGCCGTGGCGTATAATGTACAAGACAGAAACTCGATCAGCCTACGATTTGTTGTCTATGTTCTATATGGCCCGTTCAAAACTCCTTTTATGTTGTGTTAATATGTCGTATGATATGTCATCAAAATTATCTCTACCCCTTAAAATGTCCCAAAATGTAATATAGGGAATATGTATCAAATTCGTTGTTACTAAATCGCTTTTAGCTTATAATATTACTTTCTTTTAAATTGTTTTTAACGGATTTCCTTGCTCATGTTTTCAAAAATATTTCTCTCAAATGCGGTTCGAGGCCTAAGTATACACCAACGTTGTCGGCAAAATCTAAATTTCTCATGATTGACTTGTTTGCTAGTTTAGAACAATGTCACACAATTGCTATCCCGCTACCGTAAGAGTGTGATTGTGATACCTTGCATTGTCACCAAGTCTTCATTGGAACCCTCGTTTGAAGGAAATAATAGTAAGTTTTGCAAGATTGTTATTTTAGGTTCGATAACATACCACTCATGTGTCAATTATGAATTTGTGGCACGAACAAGAAAGTTGGAGGTTTGACATGTTGTCTAATAACATATTTTTTTTCTTTTTAAGTGAATTAGGATCAAATCGGACCTTTTTAGGTGAAAGTTGGAGGTATGTTTGGGTTAATTAGCCAACAACGGTCACTTGAGTGATTGCAAACAATTTTATAGCAAACATTACACGTGTTTTTCAGGAAATTAACCATCAATGGTCACTCGAGTGATTGTAGATAATTTTGTGGCAAAAATTACACGTTGTGTACTTCGGGTAATTAGCCATCGATGATTACTTTAAGGGCGATGACATGATTTTTATGGAAATATTACAAGTTGCGTGAATGGGTAATTAACTACTTAAGTTTCTCGATTTTGTTTATATAAAGTTTTGCATATTTGTTCCAATAGGACAATGTCTTACTCAGTATTTTCAATACTCAACATTTGTCAAAATGTTTTCATTTAAGAGCAAGATTGTGACGCCCGAGTAATCAATAGAAGAAGTTAGTCATGACACAACTTTAGGGTCTTGATATAGTTACTATCTATATCAATAACATGCACTTTCATTTTTTGTGACTCAATCATAAAAAGTCTAAAGTTCGTATTTTCTTAACAATCTGATGTCAGTGACTATTTAGAGATTTTTCTGAAAAACACGTGAATTAAGATAAAGTATGTAATTTTTATGCAAATTAAATTTAAAATGTTTTTATACAATTTATTATGAGTGATGGGATGGTGGTTTCGAATAGGTGGATCATGTATATCCTATATATATATATATTTTTTTTTTTTTTTAAAAAAAAAATTGTAAGCAAATTCCTTCGTATGAAGCAGAGAATTGAGAAGAAATCTCCCCTCACCCATTTTCTCTATTTATGGTGAATGATCTCTAAAGGAGACTTCATTTAACGGGTCTCACAGGACATGTGTTTGGATGCATGAGGAGAAATTACAAAAGTTGGGATACGAATCAATGGAATATGGATCCATGGGAGTCATTCGACCACCGACGGGAAGAAGTAGGGGCCGCAAAATACGTAGGCGTGGGCTCCTTCCAATTTCCCAGCTTTGGGATTTCTGCCCCGAAACTGTTTGTGAAAATGCCGCAGAGGCAGACCCCACTCCAAACTTGTCGTCGAGCGCAACTTTTGCGAGCTCGTGATTACCCACCACACAACCTATGCTTAGCCCCATCATCTATTCACCACTATCTGTCTTCTTTTTCTCTCTTATTGCCCCCTTTCCTTTTCCAATTTTTCTTGGGTTTTGCTCACTATCACCGACACTTCACAATTTTTAGCAACTGAGTATTGTAAAGTAGAACACTTTCAATGTTGCAAAAGAAAAAAGTAGTCTTCAAAAAAGATCCTTCAATTCGTTGTATCTTTGATGAAAATCTGATAATGATTTGAAAGAAATGGGCTCATTATTACATCCATATCTTGACACTCCCCAAGATCCTCTAATTTTACTGTATTGGCTTCTACTACTTCTAATTTATCCCAACCCAGATGTATTGTTGAAAACAGCAGTGAAGTAAAATGAAAGCAAGCACAAATCCTGACATTGCTGTTCTGCTACCTCTTAAGACAAGAGTCCCACCATTCGTCCGGATTTCAGCCCTTTTGTTGGGCTTTGCCTTTGTCATTGACCCCTTAAGATATTCCAGTCTGTTTTCTAGAGCTTGGTGCTGGTTGTATTTGGTTTATGCGTCTCAAATGAACTAGATTCTAGTTCAGCTGCCTGTTTTTTGATTTTTCACTCTAAATGATAGTTTGGTTGTTCAGAAATAAAGGGTTTTCCATTAATGGTTTGGACCCACTTAGGAAGTATGTTTGAAAGCTTTACTTAAAACTTGGGTGTTCATTACTTGTAAACTTTTCTAATTGCATACATCTTTGTTTATCTTTTAGTTGCATCGTAGTTGTAGACACTGGACCTGGCAACCCTCCTCGAGTGACTACGTATTGTGATTGTTTATTTCCAATATCCACTCTCATCAGAATCGGTGGTAGAAATTAAATATTCTACTAACCATGACTGTATTCGCTTTTTCTATTTACGAAAAAGTGGAACACAGCAAAAATCAAATTACCCAGGAGAGAGAGAGAGAGAAAGAGAGAGAGACAAAATAAGTGGCAACAGTGGCAAAGGAGGGAGCTTTCCAAGGCGTTGGATACTATCTGACAAGTCCTGTCTGCCAGAGCTATAAAGAACCATTTTTCCCATTCGTAAAGAAGGGCAAGAAGTATAATTAAAAGAGAGGGAAGAAAAGAAGAGGCAGCTGATTTGTTTTCTGCCTTTTCAGGCAGAGGGGGAGAGAGAGCTAGTGACTGAGAGAGAAATGGAGAAGAAATGGAGCTGGGGAGAGCTGTTGCTGCTAATCAGTATCTGCATTTTGGGATGGAGGGTCAGTTTTATCAATGGAGCTACGGATCCAGGAGATGGTAAGTACCTTACCTTTTTCTATCTTGTTTTACTCTGTTTGTTTTCCTCCCCCTCGGTTCCTCAATGTCCTGCACTGCATATACTGGAAATCATATACTTTAGCTTCTACCTTAGAAGACCTCCTTTAAGAAGAAAATGGATTTTAACGACTTATCACACTAACAGGTTTCTAGTTTAGAATGTTGCATCTATTACTATTAGAGCTCTCTTCATATGAAGAACTTTCTCCCCCCTTTGCTATGAGCTTCTTAAGCGTAATGACTACTTGCCATGTCACAGTTTTCAGCCTATAAGAATGTGCTACTACTTAAAGATGTCTCATTTTGGATTTTGAGGAGAATACAATCTCAGAGACCTTGTTACTGCAGAAAAACAGTGAACATATGGATAAAGAAACTGAACAAGAACTCCTCGTACCCTTGTGAGCTTCGAAGGTGTAGTCAAAAGTGACTCAATTGTCGAACAAAGGGTGTAATTTGTTCAAGGAGGGGATTGTTGAGGATTGTGGGAGGGAATCCCATATTGGCTAATTTAGAGAATGATCATGGGTTTAAGTAAAGAATAAATCTCCATTGGTATGAGGCATTCTGAGGAAACCAAAAGCAAAGTCACGAGAGGTTATGCTCAAAGTGGACAATATCATACCATTGCGGAGATCCGTGGTTCCTAACACTACCTACGAAAGAAGACAAGACTAATACCTTATATCTGTTTCTTTTCTGTAACTTAATCAATGTTACTTGTCTGATAGAAGTTAAGGAGTTCAGTATGCACTGTTACTTCAAAAGTGATATTTTGCCATCTTTATATTTTAACAAGTGGGTTGAACCTAAAACAGGGAATATACGAATTCATAGCATCTCAAATCATTTTATAAACTGTTATGCAACCTATCCTTTACTCGCAGAAGATATGTCAGTTGGAAAGTTATTGTAAGCATTATTTGAACGCACTCACTCAGTTACTAAGACACATGCATATCTTACTACTAGCATTATTTATGCAGTCTCTGCTCTAAATGCCATGTATAGTAGTTTAAACTCGCCTCCAATTCTAACACTATGGAGTTCAAGTGGTGGCGATCCATGTGGACAAATTTGGAAAGGCATTACTTGTTCAGGCTCAAGGATCACTGAAATGTATCTCCCTCTTGCCCTGTTATGTAACATTTTATGCAATTTAACATTTCTGTGATGCACTTATCTATATAATGTTTTTTAGTTCATTGACTGGTTTAGGACTTTCTGGATCATTGGGATACCAGCTCTCAAGTTTGGCATCTCTAATTAATCTGTAAGGTCTATGGTCTTGTTTGTCAAGTGATATAAATTATTTTTTTATGTTGTATTTATAACATGTCTATAAGTGAAATTCGCAGAGATGTGAGTTCCAACAATCTTGGACCTGACATACCTTATCAACTCCCTCAAAACTTGCAAAAACTGTATGCTTCTATTGTTGTTCATTCTGATGAAGTTATGTTTCCATTTCCATTTATAAAATTAGTGTATTTCTGCAGAAATCTTGGATGGAATAACTTCAGTGGAAGCATCCCGTATTCTCTTTCTCAAATGAGTTTGCTTATTTCCTTGTAAATTCCAGGGTCTTTTTTCTCCTTCCTTTTATGCATTCTACCTGGATGCTAAAGCTACTCCATGTTCTTCTGTTCTTCCCCCTCACCTCCTTGGAACTGTAGGAACATCAGCCACAATCAACTTGGGAATCAAGTGAATGATATGTTTTGGAAGCTTTCTTCCTTGGCCATGTTGTGAGTTCCCATAGATTTTGATCGCTTTCCCTTTTGTTGCGCCTTTTCTGTTGGTCCTTTTAGCATTACTGAACTCTTCTCAAGTATTTTATATTAACAAATACCTGTAAAGAATTAGATTTTCTTTCATAGTTTCTTCTATGTTATGTGGATGGATATGTTGAGGATTGTTGGGAGGGAGTCCCACATTGGCTAATTTAGCGAACAATCATGAGTTTATAACTAAGGAATACATTTACATTGGTATGAAGCCTTTTGGGGAAGCCTAAAGCAAAGTCATAGAGCTTATACTCAAAGTGGACAATATCATACCATTGTGGAGAGTCGTGATTCCTAACATGGTATCAGAGTCATGCCCTTAACATATCAGTAGAATCCTCAAATGTTGAATAAAGAAGTTGTGAGCCTCGAATGTGTAATTAAAAGTGACTCAAGTGTCGAACAAAGGGTGTACTTTGTTCAAGGACTCCAGAGATGGAGTCGAGTTTTTGAGGCTGTTTGAGGGCTCCATAGACCTCACGAGAGGCTCTATAGTGTACTTTGTTCAAGGGGTCTTCCACATTGGCTAATTTAGGGAATGATCATGCGTTTATAAGTAAGGAATACATTTGGATTGGTATGAGACCTTTTGGGGAAGCCCAAAGCCTAGCCATGAGAACTTATGCTCAAAGTGGACAATATCATACCATTGTGAAGAGCCGTGATTCCTATCATGTTAAATTATCACATGCTTCTAATTCATTTTCGATGCTATCATCTTATAGTTTACCATAGTTTCTTTTTTAAAGTTTTCTCGAAAACACTTTCCAACAGCGCATTAACTTCAGCTAAACATTTGTACTAACAATTATCTAGATGGAAAACATTTGTTGCAGGTTCTCTTTAAATTCAAAGTGTCAATAACTTGCTTTCCCTTCTTCAGGGATGTCTCTTTCAATTCTCTGTCAGGTGCCCTTCCCCAGAGTTTTAGCAACCTTACCAGTATGAATGCAATGTGAGTACTGAATAATTAACTAATGTGGAAAACATATGTAGTTAAGGCTGATTCTCCATGTTTTCTAAATCTCTGTAGGTTTCTGCAAAACAACCAATTCAGTGGCACTATTGATGTTCTTACAAATCTTCCACTACAAAATTTGTGTGTATCCTTAAATGCTTACTATTTAGTAGGAACTTAGCTTGTACAAACACCTTATATATCGCATTCTCCTCAGGAATGTCGAGAACAATCATTTTACAGGATGGGTTCCTGAACGATTGAAGAACATAAATATTCAGTGAGTACCTGACCATCATTATTATCTTCTCCAAGATATTATGTCTGACTAAATGTTACAGTCCATTTGAACTTGAGCAACTTTGTGACAGGGAGGGTGGCAATTCTTGGAGCTTTGGGCTTGCACCCCCACCTCCACCTGGTACACCTCCAGCCAACCAAGATTACAGATATCATAAGCCGGGAAATATTTACAGCCCACTGAGTAGTCATGCTGCTGGTGGAGATAGCAGATCAGGTATCAGTGGTGGTGCCCTTGCTGGAATTGTTATATCTGTGCTAGTGGTGGGAGCAGTAATAGCATACATGCTTGTAAAGAGAAGATCCAAAAGGTCTTCCTCAGACATAGACAAGCAAAAGCTTGGGAACTTGCCTATCGTATCTCCTGCTTCAAATGGAGTGCAAGGTAACCATGTTCAACTGATTTGTTATTTACTGGGAAGCATGAAGCTTATAGTTACTTGATCAATAGTTATCTTTTCTAGTTCAATGCTGTGGAAATAAGGAGGTTTAAAAAGTTGATGTTATTGGCCTGCCTTTCACCTTATTATATTCTGACAGAACAAATTCTCTTGAAAGATCCGTTGGCAGAGATGAAGCTTGTTCATACTTCATCATCATTTGATGCAAAATCATTGGATTCTCCTGCTTCAATCAATCTTAAGCCCCCACCTACTGATTCTCATAAATCATTCGATGACAATGATACATCAAAGATACCTGTAGTGAAGAAGACCATTGTCACCCCTCCGATAAGTGTGAAGTCTTATTCAATAGCAGATCTTCAAATGGCTACGGGCAGTTTCGATGTAGAAAACCTTCTCGGTGAGGGATCACTTGGACGTGTTTATCGGGCTCAGTTTGATGATGGGAAGGTACTTTTAATCTATTCTTTTGCATCTAATGTGTTCGTTTAGTGTCCATCTATGATCTATCTGATGTGAACGGCTACTAGCAAGAAAGAACAAAGCCCAAGTTGATCAATTGTTCATCTCTTGGCAATGATTTAGGTTCTTGCCGTGAAGAAAATAGATTCAGCTGCCTTCCCTAGAGGATTGTTGGAAGATTTCACAGAGATAATTGCTAATGTATCTCAGTTGCATCATCCTAATGTAACCGAGCTAATGGGTTATTGCTCGGAGCATGGCCTGCATTTGCTAATATATGAGTTCCATAAGAATGGCTCGCTACATGACTTTTTGCACATATCAGATGAATATAGCAAGCCACTGACCTGGAACTCCCGTGTCAAGATTGCTTTGGGGACGGCTCGTGCATTAGAGTAAGTTCATTTCCTGAACTTTTCCTTGCATGTTTGTTTATTTATGGTGATGCTATGAGGTGATTTTTAGCTCTATCCTTACATTTTGACGTGATAACAACTCCCAAGATGCATATGTATGTTTCTAAAAGTAAAACTGGAAGCTTAACAATGCAAAGCTTTAAGATCAACCATACCTTACAATTTGAGGCTCTCAGTTGATCAAAGCTTTGTCAGACATAAATTTATTTGTCTTTGTTATTCAACCACCTGATGTTGCAGAAAAATTTTGTAGGTACCTGCATGAAGTTTGTGAACCGTCAGTTGTTCACAGAAATATTAAGTCAGCCAATATCTTATTAGATGCTGAAATTAATCCTCATCTCTCTGATTGTGGCCTGGCTAGCTTTATAACCAATCTTGATCAGGTGAGCTTTACAACCAATCTGCATGTATGATGAATTCTATTGGACAGGCATTGAATAGGTCAATTTATATGGATTTTGATCAAATGTTCAGGCATTAGATCACCAGGTAGGATCTGGGTACAATGCCCCTGAGGTTACCATGTCGGGTCAATATATATTGAAGAGCGATGTATACAGCTTTGGAGTGGTTATGTTGGAACTTCTAAGTGGGCGTAAGCCATTTGATAGGTAAAATAGGCAACTTTAAATCCTGTAAAGGAAGAGTCATTGGTTTGCTTAGTCAAAATTTTCTGATATTTCGTTGCAGTTCAAGGCCAAGAGATGAGCAATCCTTGGTTCGATGGGCTACACCTCAGCTCCATGACATCGATGCCTTGACGAAAATGGTTGATCCTGCTCTTAAAGGACTCTACCCAGTCAAGTCTCTCTCGAGATTTGCAGACGTTGTGGCTCTTTGCGTCCAGGTACTGAGCCTTTTTAGTAAAAAAAAGTTACTTCAAACAGCTCATCCAGCCTTAACCAATCAGCTAAATGAACTGTTTTCCATGGCAGCCGGAGCCTGAATTTAGACCACCTATGTCAGAGGTGGTGGAGTCATTGGTTCGGCTTGTGCAGAGATCCAACATGAGCCGAAGAACGTTTGGAAGTGATCATGGATCATCCTTTAGAACTGATGATCCTGATGCACGAGAGACATCTTAACTGGCTTCTTCTCACTAAAAACACAGTTCTCCAAATTTATATATAGAAGAAAAATCTTATCTGGCTTCTTGAGGAAGGAACGCTTGGTAGTTTTTATCGATGTCACGATGATATTAGCACTTCATGCAGATCCCACTTCATAGACAAGCATGACATTGTTGTGTTTTGATTCACCAATGAAAACCTAGCAGTTATTTCAAAACCAACTTTGCTTAATAGAAGCACTTACCTGCCAAGATCTTATTTACCCAATCACAGGCCCTTCACTACTGGAATTATTGTGGATTATAAAGTTCAGTGTAACAGGTACATTGCAAGGATGGCTGATCCAGTTCTTACTGGCCATCTCCATTGTATTTCTCTATATACACTGTTTACAGCCGTGAGTATTTTGTTATGAGAGAGGACTTGCTATATGCAAGGAATTCGTGCAAACTTCGCGAGGTATCATATCATTTTGTGGACTCAATTCCAGACCAAGGCTATACACAATCGAATCTCTACATGTCATTCTGATCTGAAATGAAATTTGGTTCCTCGCCCTGGCAGAGATACTGATCACACAGAGACGCGGAGCCCCAGTCCTGCCGTAGCCGCAAAATGTCCTCTGTGAATGTAGACCCAGATGCACCGATAAATGTGCTCGACATAGCACAGATTGTCTTGTCCAGCATCGCTTCAACCTACACAATGAAAATTAGCTCATTGGAGTCGAGCTCAGGATGCTAAACAAACAAGTCGAAAGCTTGATTTTATTGGATTAGAATGAATCTATTGCACTGCATGTAATATGTGTGCATGTAGGACTCTCAACATAACACCGGACATAAAACTCTATGTTGATGAATGTTGGGAGAGAGTCTCACATTGGCTAATTTAGAAAATGATTGTGGGTTGTAAGGAATACATCTCCAATGAGGCTTTTTGGAGAAACTCAAAGTAAAGACATTAGAGCTTATGCTCAAAGAGGCAATATCATATCATTGGGGATGACCGTGATTCCTAAAATGATATCAGAGTCATCCTAACTTAGCCATGTAATTCTCAAATGTCAAACAAAGGGGGTAATTTGTTCGAGGATTCCAGAAAAAGAGTTGGATCTCGACTAAGGGGAGGCTAAGCCTCGGGAGAGGCTCTATAATGTACTTTGTTCGAGTGAAGGATTGTTGATAAGGAATACATCTCCATTGAGGCTTTTTGGGGAAGTCCAAAGCAAAGCCATGAACTTATGCTCAAAGGGACAATATTCACACCAACAAAGCCATGAAAACTTATGTTCAAAGGGACAATATTCACAGTATAATACTTGTGTATAACAATAATCGTTGCAGTGTAAGAAAAGTTAGATTCTTAAGCTGACCTGAGAGTGTCCCTCAATCCCATGCCTGTATAACAAGGCGTCCCATTTTTCAGCTGAATTACGAGGAGGCCTTCTAACAAGTGGTATGGACTTCCCATTCAACACAAGAAGTGATTGCAGCAATCCATATTCACTCTCTGCTGCATCTGTGGAAAGATAAATGACTGCCACATTCGCCCTTTCAACCATTCGAATTATGCAGTCTGCTGCTTGAGGAATGGGGTAAAAGCAGCTTGGCTGCTTTGCGTTACTGGAAAACAGAAAATTTCATTAACCATAAAATTTCAAAAGAAAATAGAAATGTAGATGTATTACCAGAACTTCAAAAAACCATGTCGCCGGAAATGGATTGCCATATAATTCTTTCCTAAGAACGTTTGAATGAATCGCTGGGCTGTCAGCTTGATCAGACGACTTGGTTCAATCAAAGTCTGGCATTTGTGAGCGATGGGGCCGCCTGGTTGATTCACCCACTCTTTCTCTACATTAGCAAAGAAAATATCTCCTACTGCTACAACATCGTCGTTGGAAGAGAATTTGGATTCAATGTCTGAAACCGTCTTTCCAGTGGGCTTCTTAGCATCTTCATTCCAAGCAGATTCAAGCTTGCCCATAGAGATCCCCAAGTTCTTCAACTTTCTAATATGTTCTTCATCCACATAACAAGGATCTGGTTTTGAAAAGTAACAGATGAACCGATCAATGTGCAAGTGGTGCTTCCTAATCTCAGAAAACTCTTCAAAAGAGATGACAACCTTTCTTCCCAAGCACGTATTGATATTTTCAATGTCAATTACCCTACTGAACAGATAATCAACTTTGTGACTAGGAATGATTAAAATTCTGTGGAGGATAGCAGCGAAGAACATATGCTTCTGCAAACAGATCAAATGGTTAGACATTTGCCCCGAAGTGCATATAGCGAACAAAAACTTGTTCGATTTGGGCTTCCACTCAATTGTTCGTTTGCCGTACAATTTCTGGTCAATCTTTCCACATTGATCAATGGTGAATGTTCCCATCGTATGAGCATCACCAACTACCTCAGATAAATTCCCCGACCGATGGGGGGACAGAAGAACGTTTTGGATCTCTTTGTTCAAAATAATTTGCTTCAATATAGCAGATTTGAGATCTTCTATGAATGCGTCTCCTGGGGCTGAATTTGAACTCAAATTATTAGTAGCGGTCGAGTTGAAAGTTGTGTTAGAATGATTCCAAATATCGAAAAAATCCAGTTGTTGTTGCCTCAACAAATACAAAGCTCTCAACTCCGATTCCCTCCTTCGGTGACTGAGGGAATCGGAACTTCCGAGTGTGGAAGAGATATTCACAGAAGAGAAGAGACTTCGGATTTCGGCAGAGAAAAATATAGCGATAATGCAAAGAGGTAGAGCGGCCGCTAATAGGTAGTAGTACCTCTTGTGAAATGAAAATTTGGGAATGGAGAAACGGAATCTGTGAATGGGAGGCCGAAAATGGCGATCGTCGTCAATGTCGAAGGTTGTGGAGCGATTGCGAGGAGAAGGGAGGCGTTCGGTTCCATTCTGTTCGATAAGGTTTTGACGATCGTCTGATCCGTCGGAGGACGAATCAGATCTATCCATTACTTCTCCAGTTCTTCCACTTGGATCTTGTGTTTCTTCTTCTTGTTCAGCAGAGTTTTTTGTTGGAGATTTTCACTCCCAAGACCACACAGTCTTCAATTGGACTCTCTCCACAAACAGGATGACTTAGCGAGAAAGAGTCTAATTAACACTAAAACTTTTAACCTTAAAAAAAAAAAAAAANAATTAAGAATATATCATTATCATTAAAAAATATATTTACCATTAATACATTTATAAAAAAAAAATAAAAATATGCATATTAAATTTCAAGACTTTTTTTTCTTTCACCCGGACATCCTGTTGACTGAGGAGATAATCATATGTTTATAATTAAAGAATATATTTTTATTGGTATGAGGTCTTCTGTGGAACCAAAAGTAAAGTCACGAAGAGCTTAAACTCAAAATGAACAATACATACCATTATAGAGATCGTGGAGTATGGATTGATTTTCTAAAATTTGAACATAGGATTCGTTCCGAGGCAAATTGGACCAGGACCAACAAATTCTGTTACCGCTAAAGGAAGTCTCTGTATAAGGGACATTTTTTTTTTTTTTTTTAACGAAACTCAAATGTTTTGTTTGTCTAAAACGAATGAATATATTTGCTCTTATATGGGTTGTCTATGATGTGTGATATGATGATTATATTATAATTATAAACGTTTTGAGCTTAATGTAAGCATGTTATGTTTGATGGATGGATGTGATAATAATATTTTTTTTTATAATAATACATAAAAAATATCACATAAAACAAATTTGGTTAACTAAAAATGTTTTATTTTTCATAAATATATTATCAAAACTCCTTTTTTTTTAATGAACATTGTTTAAAATCAACATGAACATAGTTCGGCAAGGTCAAAAGCTCGAAGTTCAGATAGAGACAAGTGAATTATGATAGCGGATTGTTTACATAAGAAATCGAGCCAGACAAAGAATGCTGCTCTAATGTCAATACTACTACGGCTACGATGATGCTCTATAAACTCAACAGAATCAGCTAGTTTGTTCTACACATAAGTGATCAATAAAATGCTAATCGCTAGGTGTTGCTTCATTAAACATCGAGTCCTGACATACTTCGGCTACTTCAACCAGCCTACCACAAACCCATTTCTTCCTGGCTGCACTCACTTGGGTAACCGCTTTCTCTTCCAACTGCTGAAGGTTGGTCCCGTTCAACCAAGCCTTATGGTCCTCAGATGCCTTATTCCCATTAGGCTGGTTTGCCAGACTTGACAAACGTGGTGTATAAGATGCGCCATTTCCATTGGTGCTTGCTGAAACTTCAAGATCCTGCACACTAAACTTACCAAAATCAAAACCCGCATCTTCTATGCTACAAGGAAACAACTGGGTCCCCTTTGCCATTGTTTGAGCTTCTCTTCTTTGGTCTTCTTGGGAGTAGGAGGCTGCTGCATTCTGTTCTTCAGTCTGTTGGGATGCCATCTGCTCAATATCTATGCATTCAATTGATTGTAGTGCTTCAGCTATAAGCTTTCTTGTTTCTAATAGGGAAGCTCGAGCAATGGGGCTTCTTGTAGCGGCAACCTCAAGGGCCTTGGCGGCCTTCTCTGCTTCAGCAATCATGAGTCTGAAAAGGAAAAACTGGAACGTCATCAACTGTTCAGTGTAAATTGAGCTGTCTTGCATTCTTGATTAGAAACTGGAGCTGGAAAGGTCGTACTCGTGAGTAACGAATACTGTTTCGTAAAGGTTTTCAGTCACAAGAAAGGGAACCTGAATATAGCCATGGTTGTCAAATCGCTACCGATGCAGCCAGTGGTTCAATTTCCCTCAGGAATCATGCTAGAATAAAAAGTCCTAACGACTTCAAACAACGTAGTAGCATACATGCTTAACACCACATCAAAGAGGTTCATTCTCCCTCGGAAGTAGAAAATGGCCTCTTTACAATTAGAAAGATGAGTCAGTTGAGGATTATTTAATTGAAAGGAGTAGTCTCACATTAGCTAATGAAGAAGAAGATCATGGGTTTATAAGTAAGGAACACTATTTTCTTAGGCCTTTTGGGAAGACCAAAAGCAAAGCCATGAGAATTTAGGCTCAAAATGGATAATATCATACTACTGTGGAGAGTCGTGGTTCCTAACATAGTATCAGAGTGTGCCTTTAACTTAGTCATGTCAATAGAATCCTCAAATGTCAAACGAAGGGTGTACTTTGTTCGAGGGCTTCAAAGAAAGGAGCCGAGTCTCGATTAAGGGGAAACTATTCGAGGACTCCATATGCCTCAAAGGAGGCTCTATGGTGTACTTTGTTCGAGGGGAGGATGGTTGAGGATTATTGAAAGGAGAAGTCCCACATTGACTAATTAAGAGGAAGATCATGGGTTTATAAGTAAGAAACACTATCGCCATTGGTATGAGGCTGGGTAGACCAAAATCAAAACTACGAGAGTTTATGCTGAAAGTGGACAATATCATACTATCGTAGAGAGTCGTAGTTCCTAACAGATGAGTCCACAAGAGTCTACAAGATAGAACCGGCCAAATTTATTTAAGAAACTGCAAGTAAAAGAAAAGAACGGACCTAGCTTGCTCAATGGCTTCCATTTTTTTAAGTTCTGCAATTGCTCTCTGTGCCCTGATACTCTTTATCATGTCCAGCTTGAAGCTTGCTGAAGGGTCTTTAAACCGTGGTGCTTTACTTTTCCTGATTCTCGGTTGTCGATTTTTGATTCTAGACCCATCTGCAAAAGAAGAGTAAACATTACTCTTTTCTTTCTTCTGGCTGGTTCTTGTGGTCTCCATACTTTCACTGTGCTTTCTCCTTGGCCTTCTTCTGTTGACTCCAATAGGCGTGCCATGATATTTAGCTATAGCAGAGCAAACTCGATCACGATATTCCTGACATATAATAAACAAGAAGAATGCAGAGGTAGCTGCTGTTAAGAATGTTTGGTCGTGATTAAGCTCATGTCATAGGGATACAAATATTGTAATGGTAGTCTAAAGATTAGTTACAGGCTAACAGTTAGTATGCCATTTTGCAAATGATGATCTGGGTCTATCCGACGATCTAGAATTAAACCCAAACATTTCTTGACAACCAGGGGTTCGGTTCTGTGGAACTTTTTATCTTCGGATTTCGAAAACCATCCAGGGAGCATTTAATGAGGAAAAAAAAAAGGTTCTATATAGTGCAACTAAAGGAGGATATATAACAAAAACATACAGGATCATCCCATTTTGCAGAGATGGATTCTGATATCTTCTTCCTCTGCTCAGCTGACTTTGGTGCTCTCTTGCTTCCAACCGGCCTCGGCTTTCTTTTCCGTTGCTCGACACTCTCCAGCCACTCCTTTTTAAATCTTTCATTCAGGATTTGGTAAGAGTCCCACTGCAGTTCTTCCTCACCCTTATATCCTCGTCTTGAAGCTTCAGCAATTAAATGTTTCCACTCTATGTAGCATTTTTCTTGTAATACCAGCTTCTCACGACGTCTTTGCCACCCCATTCGCACACCAACCCCAATTTTCATCCTTGTCTCTTCGCTGTGGCATCACAAAGGAGGGGCACTTCAAATTAATGCCTCAGAGATCACATATTTAGATAGTAATACTGCAAAATCACGGATCATAAACCATCCAAACAAACAGAATAAGATGACATCTACCTCTGAGCATGGCCGCCAGCCTTAGCCAACTTATTTTTTACCTGCACAGAAAATAATATAAATTATGAAGTGAACATGCTATTCGGAATCACGAACCTCCACAACGGTATGATATTGTCTAGCATAAGCTCTCATGGCTTTGCTTTGTGCTTCCCCAAAAGGCCTCATATTCGTACCAATGGAGATGTATTCCTTACTTATAAACCCATGATCATTCTCTAAATTAGCCAACATGGGACTTCCTCCCAACAATCCTCAACACATGGTAGCTAACAAGTGGTGAGATATCAAGTAATCCTAAATAAATGTTCTGTTCATGGCCAATGCTTGAATCCTAGGCCGTGTAACACTATTCATATTCAAAATCATTGCCACCATAAAAGCAGAGGGTAACATCATGGATTAATCAAACATTTCTAATACATAAAACCATTCTTACATGACTTCACCTTAGGATCCTGCATTGCAAGCCACGTTCGCTCCTTGATTCGTCTAAGCGTCTCTGCAAATGAATTTCTTATTAAGAAAGAGTAAACGATAAATCCACGAACTGTATTAACGCTGAGTGAAGCAGTGGGTGTTTTACCAGCACTGTGCTTTCTCCCTTTGTTCCACGGCGTTTGTCCTTTATTTGCTTGGGAAATCCTCTCTCGCCTCACCCGTTCTCTCTCATCCAATTCTTCCGAATCTCCACTGGATGATGCAAGCTGAGCTTCTGAAGCAAACAGGGCAGCACCCACCTGAGAATTCTTAAATTCCGTCCGTTTTTCCATATAAACGTCCCCGTTCCCATCATGAACCACACGCTTGGATTCAAGAGTAGCAACTGCTCTAATCAATAATCCGCGCCTGGAAACCTCAAGCTGGGCACTGAAGTTCATCCGTTTCGGTACAATCAAGGACTTCCAACAAGAAGATAATTCCTTCTCATTCCCAAAAGTAAGCGAAACCATCGAATTGCTCACAAGAAAACATGAACGTAAACAGTGGAAGGCAGGCTGAGCAGTAAAAATCTCAGCTACAAACGCGAGAAAAAGCAATATATAAAGCGTCAGTGTGAAATGAAACCCGCAATATGAAGAAAAAAGATGAACACAGCAAGAAGAGAAGACGCCATTGAAACCAAAGAAGAGAAGCTTACCCAACAAAGGCATGGAAGCTCATTCAGCCAAAATCAACCACCGGAATTCAGTTGAGAAAACAATGGCCGCAAATCTCTCGAGGAAGTGGCATTACAGTCGTCTAGCCAAAGTTAATGTCAGTCAGTTGCTGGACAACGTTCTTCGAAGGGATTAGGCGAGCAGAGACGAAGGCACACCAGGAAGGAACCACCACCACCACCCCCCCC